ATGATATCAGCTCAGCACATAAGCAAATCACAGAAGAATGGGGCATAACTGAGAAGGTGATTGCAGTTGTCACAGACAATGGTGCGAATATAGCTGCTGCAGTTCATAAAGCTGGATGGAGGCATCATACATGTTTTGCACACACACTGAATTTAGTTGTAAAGGACAGTGTCAAAGCTGTCCCAGAAGTGGTGCAGGTGCTGGAAAAATGCAGTCGTGTTATTTTTTCACCACAGCACAAAGAAGCTCAAGGATATTCAGCAGTTGAAAGTTTCAGAACACAAGCTAATTCAGTCAGTAGATACCTGCTGGAACTCTGTCTTTTACATGTTGGAGTGGATCTGTGTGCAAAATAAAGCCGTGACCACAGCCTAGCTTTTAGGGAAGAATGCATTGTGCTTAAATGTGGGAGAATTATCCCCGATTAAGGAAACAGTTGATGAAGAAGTAACACAGAAAGTTTCATCTGAAAAACATGTTTAAGTCTCCAAAATTATTCCACTTGTGTCACTCTCATGCTCCCACTCTAACTGTAAGCTCAACACCTACTGTTGGTTCTGCCTCAGGGCCTTCTACTTCAGGGTCTATCCCGAGTCCTCCACCCGAAGGTCCTGCTGCAACAAAAGGACAGATTTTGACATGCAGATTGTGTCAAGCCAACATCACCTGTCAGCTTTCAGTGATGTACTAATTAAAATACGCCGGTACTCAGAGGAAAAACTAATTCCCTGAGATAAAGATCCATTGGTTTGGTGGCAAGAGCATGAACAAACCTTCCCATCCCTAAGCAGACTTGCAGTGAGATACCTAGGAATTGTTGCTTCTTCTGTACCTGCAGAGAGAATCTTTTCAAAAGCAGGAGAGGATGTGAGCAAAAAACGGAGCAGACTTAAAGGGAAAACTGTAAATATGCTGTTGTTCCTAAACAAAAACCTATGAATAAGGGAACGTGTTACTGTCAAATGTTTTTGCTGAAATGTAAAGCCAAGATAAACGTTAAATAATAACGTTAAAACGTTAAATAAATATATTATGGCCAATATATAAATATATAAATTACAGCAGTGAGCTTGAAATCTTTGCCAAACACTGAGCTTGAATTCTGTGCCAAACACTGAGCTTCAGTAAAGATTCAAGTTGCAGTTATTTATATTTCCTATCACCTTAAATCGTCACTCAAAGACAAGTATCTTTCACAGTCTATACATAGATGTATTGTAGATAAGAGACAAGTATTGTTCGTTTCATATGTTGGCATTACTAAATTTGGCTCAATGCTTACATATATGTGTAAAGAAAATGTACGAGCTGTGATAAATGTTTCTGATAGAAT